AACTTGGGGGACTTAAGAGCAAACGTATCTTATGTTGGATTGTAAACTGCAACACAAAAATAGGTATGAAAGTGGAAATTCCTGTGTTTAGAAAACACATTTGCTGTACATATTTGGAGGGGGGGGGAGTATGAACTTTCCTTTTGTTTTAACTGCATTTTAGTGAGGATTTTTTCTTCTTTGCATTGTTCAATAATTAACAGCTTGAGCCATGACCTAGTAGCCTGTAAGTTCCATTCTTGATTCTTTCTGAAATTGTGGAACTTGCAGTTGAGAGTAATGAAATAAACTGCATGGAAATTCTGGACTCATTCAAACAAGCTTTAGCAGACATTCTTGGGATTATTTTAGATTGCAATTTAAGAAGCCATGGTATTAGTTGGTCATAATAAAAATGTGCTGGAAAATGCCTTGCCCCTTAGTCCCAAATATGAACATCTTGATTTCAGTAGATTGAATCCTGAGAATCTTGCTTAGAGCAGACTAATTTCAGTAAATGGGATTTCAGTCATGGGCAGTTTGACATTCTTTCACTGAGTCAGCTGTAAGCAAGGAAATCTTAAAGGCATGCTGTATAAGATTATGTGAATTTAGTGATACTTCTTCCCAGAATTTGGGGTTTTTTTTTCATTCAGTCGTGCCCAGTTCTTGGAAACTGCCTGGACAAGTCCCTGCAGTTTTCCTGGCAAGGTTTTTCAGAAATGGTTTGCCATTGCCTCCTTCTTAGGGCTGAGAAAAAGTGACTGGCCCAAGGTTACCCAGCTGTCTTTGTGCCTAGGTGGGACTAGAACTTATGGTCCAGTTTCTAGCCTGATGCCCTAACCGTAACTTAAAGAATTTGGGTAATGGAGTCTAAATTTGTACCTAACTCAGTTGCATTTTAAGTAATTGTGCTGAAGATCCTAGTTTTCCTGTAGCAACATGTATTCTTTCTTGTCCTGCAGATTTTGTACCTGTAATAAATGTAAAGAGAAAAACTGAAAATTGCAGGTTTACTTTATATTTAAAAGGGTAATGCACCGTGGAACTGCGGTTGTGGCTTTAGGTTTTTCTGTTACTTAGTTTTATTGTTGCTGGTTTTATGATTGTATATATTGTTTTATTGGTTGTAAGCCACCCAAAGTTGGTTTTAAGATGGGCAGCTATACAAATGCTTTAAATAAATAAATATGATAAATAAATATGATAAATAAATAAATAAATATTAAGTATAGGTAGTTGATTGACTTTGAAAAAAAAATAGGTTTGTATTAACATGATTTTATGAAATGACAATCACCTCTTTAAAAACTTAATGATATATTATTGTGAGACCAACTACATTCTAGCTTGCTAAACAAATACATTTTTTTTAGTGATGTAGTCTTTTCTGATATTAAAGAAAAATGCTAAATTGTTTAGGTACCCTAACAGGTCCCTGTCCTTGTTAAGGATTGATCCTTCAATGGAAAAATCACATTTGAATGTGCTACTGTATCTGGGCTGCAAAAATCCAGATGACCACTAGGTGGTAGGAAACTATCTCTGTTGCTGTCTAGTAGTCATCTGGATTTTTGCAGGTCACATATGGAAGTCTTAACCTAATCTATGCTTGTGTAAATTCCCTAGCTTGTGAAATAAGAGTCCAATTAATGCACTTATCTGGTTTAGTTACTTGTTGCTAAACATAGAACAAATAATCCTGCTTAAGCAGAAATGTTCCTCAGTATTAACAAGTGGGTGATTAAACCCTTTTTTTATTACAAACCTCTTTTTATTTGACTTGTGTATCCCTGAATTGTGTGAGCTATGAGAAGTTGACTTCTGGGGAAGAAATGGCAAACTAAAGACCACAGCAGAATGAAGAGCCAGTAGATGGACCAACTCTTCATGATTCCTTTCTGGATAAGGAGAGGACTGGGATTGCCCACGAATGCTCAGGACAGTTGCTCCTCACAAGGAGACTGCAAAACAGTGGCCTCTAGTGGATTTAGAGCTCTTGGAGATGAGGGAACACCATCATAGCCCAACCACGATTTGGCACCTTCAGAAAGGACGCTGGGTTCACATACTTCCTTTCTTAATTACTTTTGGGGAATTGCTTGTTAACTGCTTTTCAGGTATTAGGAACCTTCATAACAGCAAGTTTTACTACACTGGGTGAGTTTCCTTCAATCCTTAGTGAAAAGTTTTATAAAAGTTTAAGGACTTTAAAAAATTCTCTTTTTTTGGAATAAACAGCAAAGGGGTAATTAGAATGTTGATTTTGGAAAGTTACAAATTGTCCAGATGGATTTGAAATAAGATTTTGAAACTAATTATAAGAATCCTTCCCATGGGGAAATGCTGTTTTGAATACTTAAAAAAAAAAAAAAGGATTTTGGGATTTTGAAGATTGGACACTAGAGAGAACCAGAAGGAATTAAAGAGTACAATCAAGTACTCTTCTCTTACAATTAGGAGAAAGGTACTTAAATTTGACTTACTAATACAGAATGGAGCAAAATACTTTAACATTGGACGTACTGAAGGATATTTGTGAACAATTATTTGAGGGGATTAAGGATCAAGATTGTTAAAAGTAAAAGGAAGGAATGTATAGTTGGCTTATTTGATCAAGGTTAAAATAGATATGTTATCTCTGCTAATCCTTAGTGCACTTTTGCTGACCAAGACTGAATTACAAGGCTTTAAAGATTTGTTTATAGATAAGAGATGAGATATAGGAAGAGATCATCTGTTGTGATTTAAGAGAAGATGATAAGTTATTAAAATTGTTTATACTTGTTATGAAGGGGAAAGTCATTTCTTTATATATTCCTTTTTCTTTACTATATTTTTTTCTATTTTTATTTTTTTTATTTTCTGCACTATTTTTTCTTTTTCTTTTATTTTTTTAGTTTGTATTCTTATTTTTTTAATTGTAATGTTCAGTAAAATTACTATAAAAATTAGGGGTCAGCTACAACCATTGACTTTCAGACTTTATTTTGAAAAGAGTACAGGGATTTGAATGGCATACTGTAGAATGGAATGATGCCTGGTTCGGAAAGTTACAGACAAGTGATTATCATCAACTATGCAAGCACATTTTTGCTTCCCTTAGTTCTCTCTTCTGATTCTGTTTAATCTTCTAGGTTGCCCATAGCTATGTGGAAAGGATGTGAGCAAGTGTAGGGTGGAGAATACCACCACCACACCTGGACTGCAAAACTCCAGACAACCAGTTAGCAGCAGAGAAATACAGAAAACATGAAGGCTTTTCTGTTAACAAGCTGGTGCCCCTATTCCTGGGGAATGATACCACTGGATGCAACTTATTTCATGGGCACACATCTTGGCTAATCATTCTTATCAATTCTGATACAATAGTTTCTAATAGTTAAAATCTTTTATGACAATACACTATTGTCTCAGTGAAACTGGACTTCAACTGAATTTTGTATTCCTCTAACATGTATAATTTGTAAAGTGTAAATAACACATTTTCCAACTCATGTTTGCAGCAGAGGCTTTGTACTTGAGCGGTTTCTCACCTACCACTGAAAAGGGGAGATATGTACTGTATACAGTATAGCCATGTTTGGTAGGGAGACAGAAGTGGAGTTAACTGTGGTTAACACAGTCCATCGGTTTGGGTTGCCTCGGTGGAAAAAGAAAAGCAGGAGCCATAGTCAAACACTGAGCAGCTAAAGATTTTCCCCTTGTCTTAAGACTGCTTTTGCTGCCAAGGAACGATTTAAACGGGAGGAAAAATAACAGGAACATTCTCTGCATACCTTACTAACATTACTGGCTTTTCAAGCTACGCCGTTTAAAAGGGCGAACGAATGGCATTCCATTTAGCCAATCGCGTGCCAATTCTAACTTCCACGAACCTAAGGGCCTTGTATAACCCCGGCAACGGTCTTGTGATCGTGCGCGGCCTCGCTGCCAGAACTCTATCTCCTGCGCGAGCCCGGTAAATCACGTGCTGGGGGCGAGAGGAAGAGGGTAAAGAGTAGTCCAAAGGAGGCGGCGAACTCCTAGGGCTGACGCTTCGCCGAGCTGTGCGCTGATAGGCTACCGTTTGGCGGCTCCCGCGCGCTATTGGTTCTGCGTCTAGGAGGGAGGCGTGGACAGGTGTTGGGAGGCCGTTGAGGAGGCGGCCGAGTGAGGGGGAGCCAGAGTGGGATGGGGCAGTGAGGGCGGCTTAAGGCGCCGCGGAAAGTCGAATATGGCGCGGAGCAGTCGGGCTGTTGGCAAGGCTCTCGTGGAGAGGTTGGCAGTGCCTTCGCGCAGAGTAGCCCTCAGGTACGGCGAGAAGGAGCGCAGGTTGTCCGGAGAGCCCCCCCACCCCCCTTTTCTCTCCTTCGGCTCGGGAGAGCTTTAAGCCACGGAAGTTTGGTGGGCGTCCGACAGATTGAGTGGGGCGGCTAAGTGGGTCTGCCGCCGCTGCTGCCGGCTTCAGAGACGACTTTCCTTGGTCACGAGCACCGTGGGTGGTTCCCGCCGTCTTCGCTTTTCCTTCCCCTCCCGTCTCTGTCAGAGTTCCTGTGCGCCTCGATAGCCTCACTGAGACGCGGTTGCCTTTCTGGGACCTCGTCCACCGGCTAGGAAAAGCAACAGAATCCAAGGTTGGGGAGTACCTGATGAGCTTGGTCCCCCGCTGGCTTTCATCCTTTCCTCCTCCCTACAGTTCCGCCCTTGATCCGGAATAGAAGGCCCGGAGACAAGCTTTTTTGGCCAGAGATGTGCAATACCAGGCCTTTTATATAGGGCACTCACGGCTGGATGCCTTTAACCTTTTGCTAGATGCCAGCTTAGCTCCGAGTAACGTCCTTTACGTATTTTTATGAACATAATAGCCATCTTTATTGTAGCGGGTAGTAGTAGAATAGAGTGACAAAACTACTACAGTTTGCCATGACAGACTATTGTTGATTTCCAGCTAAAAGGTATTAATATTAATAAACACTTTTGTAATATAACACTTTGGATATCTTCTCTATCCCTGTGGTATTTAATTATATAATTTAGTTAAATGTAAAAAAGTATCAATGGGCTTGTGGGATAGTCATCTAATTATAGCCCATTTTGCTATTAGTATGCATGTATATCACAAATGGATGAAGGAATGAATATATTTTTAAAAATTGCACACTAAGTTTAGTTCCCCATTTTAGCTTTTCAGTGATGAAGGGGCAGATTCCCTCTAGGTGTAAGTCTTCTAAGTTTGGGCTGGTCTAAATGATGTGAGAATCTTTTGTGTAGAGTTCTTTCCATTTTATCCCCACAAATATTTCTTCCAGTCCAATTATCTGTGACCTGTCTTTCTGGGGACTTACACTTGTATACTGCTGTGTGCTACCAACAATATAGCAGAATAAATATACAATATTGTCCTTCAGCTCTTGCTCTTTGGGGCAGTTTAGCTACATCATATTTTTCTGTAACTTTAGAGATGTCTTATGGATGATTTTTTTTCAAACACTGTCCACCCTTCAAGTCCCAGACGTAGATACTGCACTTGAAAATGATAGGAAATATACTAGAAAATACATACTTTTCTGTCAAACAAAGGTAAGAAAAATTCATATTGAAAACTGTTCTATTATATTTGAAAGAAGTAGAGACCTTGGTTAATAGTAGGTACTTAACTGTGTATTATCAAGCTAGTCAGCCATCAAGGGAATGATGTCAGATTGAATTTTTGTGATATTTATTATCATGAAAACAGTGGTCCAGAATTACATCGCTAAGTTTCTCTCTTATACATATATAACTTTGACTTGCTCAAATTTCCTTTTTTTGGTTTTGCTGTTTCCATTTAATATGTGGTGGGAGTTGCAAGCAAGACCAGGATTGAGAGTGTGTTGGCATAATCTTTAGACTTTCCATGCACCCCTAAATGAATGGCATCTGGAATGGAGCACTGTTTCCTTGTTGGAGAAAGTAGTATTGTATGCCTTTCCTTAGTTGGCTGAATATGGTATAACTGTAGTAGTCTAGTGAACACATTCAATATTTGGCTGAACTGATGGCTGCACTAGAAATTATATTTATTGACTCTTTCCCCTATAAATTAGTCCATGCATGTTCAGTGTTACCTTGCTCTCTATCACTTGGAGGTATTAGGTGGACTGTTTGGCAGGGAAAATGTTTATGTAATGTTCTGCATTGAAATAGCTGACGGTCTGTAATCTAGTATGCCAATTTAATCTGGAGTATTCTTTTGAGCCTAGTAATGATGAATAATTTCAACAGTTGAAGAAAAAATGCTTAGTTTTAATCACACTTTCCCACTTGCTTTCCTTATACTTGTTAATCCATCATAATCTTTTTGGGCATTAGAGCTAAAACCTGTCTGGCACCTTGAAAAAAATCAACACAGGAACACCTTAGCAAAGTAAAGCAGCAGTTCTTCCCATATCATATTGGTCTGGTAAGGTAGTTAGGGGAAAGTTTGCTGATTTGTAAATCCTTTATGAAAGTAAAGATCTTTTCTTATTCATCTCACCTATGTTTTGACTGATGAAGGCATGGATGTTCCAGCTCTCTCAAGATCTTATCTGTTCATAGAATGTTGTATCATCTCCATCAGGTATTCTTCATCTTAACCCAAAGTTTGGAAACACAGTAGTTGTCTTGAAGAACAAAAAGTTATTCTTTGCATTGTACCAAATTAATTAAGAGACTTTGATCTTTCAGATATTCATGGTGTATGATTTAGAATTGTAAAATATATTAATTGATATTTTGAGGGTGTTATTTTATTTCTGATCCTAGAATATGCCATACTTGTAGATTTTTACTGAGCAACTTAAATTTCAGTGATTCTGCTTTGTTTTTCTTCTGTCTACTGCAGTGTGCATTGGTACACATGAAGGCAGTACTGACCTTCACTTTTCCTATGTTTCCATAACTTATAACAATATATATTTATATATATACTATATGGAAGCCACCGTTTAAAAACACTGCATTCATAATTGGAGTGATACATGCTTGAATTAAACATGGATAAGGTATGAAACCCAGGTTTCCATGTTCTTTTAAATTGCAGTTTTTAAAAAAGAAATTCAATCCTAGGATCATATTTATGTGTACAAATGAGATTTATGGGTTTAATTAGTATTTTCTTTCTTTTGATAACAGCAGTGGGCTGCTTGCAAACTGGTGCTTGAACTAGATAGTAGTTTCCATTTTCAATCATTAGAATTACTGTTAAAATTTTCTTCAGTTAAATGGAGCAAATGGCTCTTGCCATTGTTGATGTGTCTGTGGATTATTTACAGCTGTTCCTCAGAGACTAAAATGATACAAACATAACGTCATATAATCATCATATGATGACATTATTTTTCCAAAACTGACACTTGAGATACAGCAAAGGCTACGGTAATCTTTTTGCTAATCAAAGTCATCTTTCTTGTGTTAGATATTACTTGATTTGTCACTTCTCATGTAGCTGAATAAATTTATATTTTAGTATTTTATAATCAGTTTTTCATTTAGTATTAATCTCTCAGGGTTAATTTTCCACAGCTTGTTAATAAACTGACAATTAACTGAAATATTTTGAATTAATATATTTGCTTTTATAAGTATTCTCTCATCTTCTCTCTTTTTCTGTCTTTTGCCTTAATTTCAGTTTTAGAAATACTAATTGTTGTACAGGTAGTTCCCAGTTTAAGAACGAGTTCTGTTCCCAAGGTCTGTCCTTAAGTCGAAAATACTAATTGTTGTACAGGTAGTTCCCAGTTTAAGAACGAGTTCTGTTCCCAAGGTCTGTCCTTAAGTCGAAAATACTAATTGTTGTACAGGTAGTTCCCAGTTTAAGAACGAGTTCTGTTCCCAAGGTCTGTCCTTAAGTCGAATTTGTATGTAAGCCAGAACAGTATTGTATAATACTGTATAAGTAGTATTGTGTAATGAACTCAAACCATTGTGTATTTAACTGGAATCATTGTGTATTGAACTTGAAATTTGCTACAGTAGGTTCTGTTGTTAATTATGGGTCATCTTTAAACCAGGCATTCTTAACCCAGGGACTACCTGTACAACAGATTGTAAGTAGAGTTTTCACCATATTAAAAACAACTTAGTTCAATTGGCAGATGCTTTATATCCTACTTAGTTTGCAATTTCAATAGAAAAAACAATCTGGAATATCCATGTCAGTCTTCATGAAAAAACAGTTCTTTAGAAATGTGAACAATATGGAATTAGTTATTCTCTCTAATATTCTCCTGCAAAATATATTCCTCTATCCACTACAAATGCCTATTCTTCAGGGATATGATGTAGTATTTTTCCTCCTTTTTATGAATTATTACAGTAGTCCAATTTCCAAAGCAGAAAAAATAAAATCTATTCCTTAGAATGCTTATTTAAGGTATGATTCAAAGATAGTTATACTTACATTTGATCAAGGTAATACATCCTTTAATCCGCTACATAAAACTGTTTGCTAATTGAGGAAGGTCAAGTCCATTTTTAACTTCTCATCCTTATGACTTCTTGATTCTAACGTTACAGTTCAGACTGATTTAGACTTTTGTGATTGAAAATAAAAGTTCAGGCTTTGTTTTAATTAATATGAGCTTTACAACTCCTATAGTTGTGGAAATTAACCCACTTTTAAATTAATTGCTTTGCCTCCTTTGAAAACTGGCCTCACAGATTTGCTTGTCTAAAGTTCTGGTCAGTGTTGCTTTCTGTATAATTTTCCAAACAATAGTGTAGGCAGTTAAGAGGAATACTAAAGACATGGTTCGAATTTATTAGATTAAAATAAAAGACAACAGTTTAATGTCATTTTAAGTTGTATAATTTTCATTATTTGATATTTGTGTTCAGATTAGGAATGCTGCTAGTGGTTCTTCTGCAGCAACAAGTTAAATAGTATACCTCTGATTAAATATTGGACATGTTAAACTCTTAGTTTTAAAAGCTGTTTGAAAATTTTTTAGAATGTATGTGAATATTAATATATTTAATATTGACTGTTTTTATTAGGGCATAATATTTGGAATCATTGAGATCAGGGGAATGAATTAAATCTCATCCTCCCTCTGCCCCTTTGCAAGTATTTTAGAATTAATAGAGGCAGTACATTATAAGATAGGATAATTGAGTGAACTTTCCAAATCAGATTTTACTTAGTAGAACCTCTGTCAGCAGAAGTGAAAAAGGATGATTTTCCTTTCTCTCTGCAGCCCCGCCCATGCTGCCCAAGATTTGCTTTGGAAGACTAAGAGTTCCTGCAGAGTTTCTTTTTGGAGGATAGAGTTCTAGGAGGAGTCTTTTAAAACAGGACTTGGCAACCCATGACTTGTGAACTGCTTACAGCCCCAGGCTATTCCCAGAATTGATAGGGCAAAATACAAAAAAAAAAAATCCTTTTTTGTATTTCTGTAAGGTTTAAGGTATCCATTTGTCCTTTAAAATCCTCCTGAAATGTAATGAAGGTCCCAGTTTTTTGGTCTGGTCTTTGGTGATGGCATGACCTTCTGTACCTTCTGAGCAGGGCACAAAGGCAAGGTCCCAAGGCTGAAAAAAGTTTCCTGCCTCTATTTTAAAGACATACAGTAACCCTGGTAGAAATGCTATTGCAGGAGCAGAACTTTGTGTGGATGTAGTATTTTAGGGTAAGATTAGTATTAGCATGAAATTGCTTGTGCCTTTAACCTCTGAAAAAACCTCTGAAAGTACAGATAGCTAAATCTAAGCAAGCAGCATTTCTTTCAATGAAGTATATGGCAATAGAAGAAAACGTTAATCGAATCAAATGTTTATAATAGAAGACCCATGCCTTGCTGACAAGTGTGGGAGAATATTAAAAGGAAGAGGGGCCCTAAAAAGTATAACGGGTAACTGTGATTCTAACAGTCTGTACAGGCCAAACGTCTACATCCTTGTCAAAGATTTAAGATCCTTCAAAAGAGAAAAAATAATACTCTATGAAAAATATTTTCAACTCTCTATTAGAGTCATGCTTTATAGCTGTAGAAGAAAGGCTTAATGTGTTTGATACTTGCCATTCTGACAAGAAACTTGCTTTTGAAATACAGTATATGAACCCAGTAGCGTGTGGCCTCAGATTGATTCAGAGCCAAGTCTTAAGGGGGACAGCCTTTATATTGTACTGTTGCCAGGTTCTCTCATGACTGAGATATATTTAGCTTGTCCAAGGCATAAAAACCTAATCCTGAGCTTTGATTGTCCTTGTGTTACTCTTTATTTTTATTCTTGTTTTGTTGGCTGATTTATACTGTGTTAACCAGATGCCTGTTCTGATGAAAATGTTTAAATCATTGCAGGCATTTGACTTCTTGGGAAATATTGGTGAGCAAAGCCCCACTGCCACAAATACCAGCAAAAAGTTGTGCCTTTCCAAGAAGAACTTACTTCAACATTACTGCGCCATTTGTGAACAAAAGGAAAGAATATTCAGAAAGAAGGATTATAGGGTTTGTATAAAAAACTAGATGTACAGTTATATGGAAGTAGATACTCATGGATTGTGTGATGAAACCAGTCAATTTCCCATTTTCTACTGCCTTTGCTCAAATTGTGTATACTGTATAGTTAAAATTGATGCATATCTATTTCATTGTGAATTTTCTGGATTTCACACTTTAATCTTAAATTATTTAAGCAGTCCTTAAATTGTACTTAATTAATTTTGTTTTACTAAATTATATGCTGTTCCAGTTGTTGATGTGCTCTGAACAGTTTACAGTCCTACTGTATGTAAACAGGATTAACATGCACAGCATATGATTTTTAGGGCAGCTATATATTTGAGAAAGCAAACACAGCATTTTATATTCTTTGCTTAGCCCATAATCCTAGTATGAGGAGATCATTATTAGTTATTGATGAATAGGATGTATTATCCTTTTCTTGAGATAATGTATGTAGTATGGCAGTGTATATAGTGTGGTGAAGTATTATCCCATACTATCAGTTATGAAAATGTTTGGGGTAAGTATGTCAACATAGTTGAAGCAGACCTGCCACATGATGCTGGAGAACATGCCTTGCTTCCTCCCCAGATTTATGTGAATGGATGTTTGTGCTGCATTAGTAGGGAGAGCAGTATAGGAACTTTATTCTCAGAGGTCCTTCTTCACACAAAGTCATTATTGTTTCATGTGGTTATGGAGACAATCTGTATGGTGGCATATGGTAATGGTAGTTTTTTCTACTTCAGCATTTGCTGAGAAGGAGTTCTTACTCGAAGCAAGGCATTGTGCCCAGCAATTCTCTGTAATGGGCAAGTAGCATCAACTGCCACCAACAAAAAGTTATTACTATTGGTGCACTCTTTTGGCAGCAAGTAGGGATGCGATCCACTACTCCTTTCAATATGTTGCCTGATATGAGAGTCTCATGTTGCCTTATGAAAGAAATGAACTATATAAATTAAGTTTTAAATGTTACTGCTTACTTACCACCTCATATTCTCAAATTCATTTTTAATAGGCTTTGAAGGCCAGTTCAAGATACACTAATAGCTTTGGGGAATAAAAACAAAGTTCACGTAAAATAATAAGTAGAGTTAAAATTTTGAACCCAAATTTTGAAACCCTTTAATTAACAGCAGAAGATGCATCATTTAACTACTGTGTATTTTTACCAAGACCTTTTACCTTTTTCCAGGAAGTCAAATGCAATTTGCAAAAATTTGACTACTAACTTATATTTTCTGCTTTCCACACAATACATTTAATTTTTTATATTTTAGAATAAAATTTTTAAAAGATTTTGAGACTGCCATCATTTATCAAAGGTTAACTCTCAAAGTATGGATGTGGGTTTACTTTCATAAACTCATTATTATTCATCCTTCCTGCCCCAAATCCCCTCAAATAATCTTTGATATCCTTGTGTTATAAGGAAAGAGTCAAGGCTGAGAAGAAGTTTTCAAGATTATCCAGAGTTTATGGCAGAATAAGGAGTTAAAGTAAGGTCTCTTTTAAAGGCCTACATTGTATACACAGGATTATATTGGCTCTCTTTTACTAAATCCATTGGGACTAAAGCTTGTGCAAAGGAAAGTATGAACAGCCCCTTGTTTTCAGAGCAATAAAATACTGGAATGGCAGGCAGAGTTGTGTCCTTGAAGTACAACCTTGTGTGAGAAAGCTCGCTGAAATTGCATATTTGTTTATAGAATGGTTGGAATAGCATTTAAAGCAAAGGGAAATAGAGAAATGAAATACAGGTAGTCCCCAGTTTAAGAACCAGTTCCGTTCCCAAGGTCTGTCCTCAAGTCAAATTTGTATGTAAACTGGAACAGTATTGTATACTACTGTATAAGTAGTATTGTGTAATGAACTCGAACCATTGTGTATTTAACTCGAATCATTGTGTATTTGACTCAAATTTTGCTACAATAGGCTCTGTTTTTAACTATGGATCATCTGTAACTTAAGCGTTCTTAGCCCAGGGACTACCTGTATAATTTAGCTACATATCTCTAATAATTTTAATTTCCATTTTTCTTGTTTACCAGGTATTCTATGCAAGAAATGTATGATGTGGTAGCTGTTGTAAGCGAATACAAGAACTTTGTTCCTTGGTGTAAAAAATCAGATGTATTATCCAAACGTTCAGGATACTGCAAAGCTAAATTAGAAATAGGATTTCCTCCTATATTGGAAAAATACACATCAGTTGTTACACTAGTCAGACCTCACTTGGTTAAGGTAATACTTCTTCTTTGTTCCTGTTATATGTAAACTGCCACACTTTTCAATATAGAATACAAGAACTCCAAGCGTTGTCAATAGGGAATCTTATCCACCTATATTTTGACCAGGAAATCTTGGGCTGGCTCTCCCTCTGATTACTCTTCTCCTTTTACATCTCTTGGACATGACTTATTGCTGGGGAGGATATTTGGATGTATGTAACTAGCACTAAACTGGAAGAGGGTGCAGAGGGAGAGCTATAGAACCAGGCCTGCTTTAAAGCGTGAACAGAATATTTATTCAATGTATGTGTAATTTATTTAAATTTTTAAGCTGTCCAATAGTCAAAGTTCTTTGGGTGGTTTACACCAAAAAAGAAAAAAAAAGATAATACAATTTGAGTTAAAATATATCCAATAAAATCAAATAAAATACTAAATAAATGCACCATATAAACCAGGAAGCAGTAAGGCAGTCATAACAATCTAAAATAATATGAATAAATGTACGAGTTAGAATATGATTAAAATATGTTTTAAAAGCCTGGGAAAATAAAAAGGTCTTTGCCTGGCACTGAAATAATGTTAATGTGGGTCCCAGTTGAGCCTATCTGGGGAAGGCATTCTATTTATGAATGCCACCTCAGAAATAACCCTCCCATGTAGAGATGTGTCTTGCCTCCTTTCGTGGGGGACTTGGAGGGCCTCAGAAGACCTTAAGGTTCAGGTTAGGTACATACTACAGAAGGTGCTCCTTTAGGTAATCTGGTCCTAAGCCTTGAGGACTCTAAAGGTCAAAACCAGTAGTTTGAATTGGGTCCACAAACAGACTGGCAGCCAGTGTAGATGGTGAAGTACTAGCATAATATATTCATTTCAGCCAGTCCCAGTGAGCAGTCTAGCCACTCTTATTTTGAACCAACTGAAGTTTCAAGACTATTTTTGAAAGCCCGACATACAGTGGGGCAAAAAAGTATTTAGTCAGCCACCAATTGTGCAAGTTCTTCCACTTAAAAAGATGAGAGAG